ACTGAGCCACCCAGGTGCCCATATATGTCACATTTTAACTTGAGGTTTAAGAACCTGGTCTCTGGAGCCAGACTACCTGTGTATGAGTCTAGGCTCTGCCTCTTATTAGCTGTATGACTTTGGCAAGGTGCTCAGCCTCTTTGTGCCTCAGTTTCCACATCTGTAAAGTGGAGTAATATCATAGGGTTACTGTGAGAATTAAATGAATTATTATATGTAAAGCAGTTAGACAGGACTCTTGGTATGTAGTGTTTCAGAAGTACATGCTAAATAAATGTTTATAGGCAATGTAAAATCTGTTATTCCAGTCCCATAAAATATTTATTTCTCCACAGAAATTCGCCATCAGGTGAGTTTTTTATGGGCACATACTGACTTAGGTGTTTCCTGCACTCAGCTCCATGGCTGGTATTTTAGGCCCCTACCACTAACTCTTATGCCAAAATCTTGTACAAAGATCCTATTACAACTGACTCCTCAACATAATTTATTTAACAAACATTGATATAGCACTTTCTGTGTGCTCCACACTGTTTTAAACACTATACAAATATTAACTCATTTAATCCTCATTATAACATGAGAATACTTGTTGAATTTCAGTTAAGTGATGTGAGAGAATCCTTTATCCTAGTGTCTGACATGATGATCCTTCAATAAATATTTGTTGAAGGAATGAATACCTGTGAGTGACTCAATCAATCAGTCTATCTTGTTTGCTATCAAAAAGCAAACAATACACCAGAATGTTATATTAAGTGGCCTGGAAACTGGAAACATTTGAGACACTTTTTGCACAGCTGTATTCAGTTTGTCCTGAGGGGCTCAAGCAGCCTAACCGTTCCTGTCCCTTTCTCAGTATTAAATCACTTCCTACTTTAATATTAAGTTTAGATGTTTAGATATAGGTAAAATCTTTGGTGATTTGTAGACTTTTATACTCACCTAGATTGATAGTTGAATACTCCATTCTAAATTTCTGTTTTTATCATAATTTTAGATTTTGAGCAGAAAATATTAGGATTCTGTTTAAAACATTAAGATATGCCAATTTCCTCTCACTCTTTGAATTGCATCCTTTATTTTTGTTCTAATTTGGGAAGACATATTTGCATCATATTTCATTTGTCACTGTCCCGAAAAGATTAGCCAACAAGCACTTAATATTTTGTAATGCTTTATCATAATTGAAAACATCTACATATTAAGCCTGAGGAGTAAATTACCTTAAAAATATGTCAGATCTATTCAGCATCCATTTGGGAACACTTGAGTGGTAAATGCCAGTTTTTATGAAACGACAATAAATGTTTTTATTCAACATGCTATTGCCCCAATCAATTGTAGACTCTTTTTATAGTCACCAAATTAGTTGCATTTAACTTTAAATTGTATTTGTTGAAGCACTGTTAACGTGATAGAAAAGAATCAGTGTAATAACAACCTAAGACTTCAGTAGTCTCTGTGTCTGCTCTTTCTCTCTCTTCTCTCTCTGTCTCTAGCTACCAATCAAAATATTTGTCTTTTCCTAACTATGACAAGTATCTGGTAAAGTGGGATTTACATTTTTTTTTAAAGATTTTATTTATTTATTTGACAGAGACAGAGATAGCGAGAGCAGGAACACAAGCAGCGGGAGTGGGAGAGGGAGAGCAGGCTTCCCGCCAAGGAGGGAACCCAATGTGGGACTCGATCCCAGGACCCTGGGATCATGACCTGAGCCGAAGGCAGACGCTTAACGACTGAGCCACCCAGGCGCCCGGGATTTACATTTTTTTAATGGAGCTATTGAAATGTGGCAACTGAAGGGCATTTGGAAAAATGCGGGCAAATTTGCATGAGTTCAGGTCCCTTTGGTTGTTCTGAAGAGGTAGAGTTGAGAGATCAAACTCTGCAACCTCTTATCTCTGAGATGAAATATTACTGATGCTGTTGGAATAGACAAGGGTGATTGTGAACAAGTCCTGGGTTCAAGGAAGTCAACAAGTCTTTTAATAGAAGTCACAAGATTGGTACAGATAACAGTTGGGGAGGGGACTGCCCCGTGCCTCATCCAGAGTTCCGAGGCAGAAGGTGAGTTGGAGTTTATGAATTGACAGTCCATAAAATCTGTCCCAATCCCACCATGTAGCTGTCAGGCTTGTTCCTGTGACCCTAAAAACTCTAGTCCAGTTTGGACACCCTTTTCTGTGTGCAGCCCTGGGTGGGGAGGGCCAGTCTTCTCCCTGCATCAGTTTTATTCATGCAGTTAAGGCCAGAGTCATGAAATGGGGATATCACAGGAAAGTCTAGATTTCAGCTGTGTGCTGAAGCCTGACATTTTGACAATATGGACAGTGTGCAGGCCCTGAGACAGGAGCAACAGGTTTCCCCTAGGGGTCGGGACGTCGGCCAGCTTCAAGGGAAACATCTGAACTCTGTCCACTGAGATAAGAGGTACAAACTGTTGGTCTTAAATCCCTGTAAATGTTTTAGAGGATTCCTGGACATTTCAGGATGATGGTGTGGGGCTAGCCGCCAGAAGAAAAATATTGGACTTGTTTATTTGGTTATAAACCCTATCCTATAAGTATTTGCAGTGTTGTGATTTATAAGGAAAACGTGTATGTGACCATCCAGATGACCAAAACATATTTCTCCTATATATTTGGTCTTCATCCACAGTTCCTGACTCACAGGTCCCCAAACCCTTGGCATTTCCTCAGTGTTGAGAGTGACAGAGGTGTTTCTTTAATATTAATGAGGTGACTTTTGGATCCCAGGACAATGAATAATGTGATTAGAGGATTGGAACTTTTGGTTCTAGCCCCAGACCTCTGGGAAAGGGAGAGGGCCTGGAAGTTGAGCCAATTGCCAGTGGCCAGTGATGTAATCACTGTAATGAAGCATCCACGAAAATCCAAAAGGATAGGGTTTGGAGAGCTTCCAGGTTGGTGAACATGTGGAGATTCAGGGAGAGTGGCATGTCTGGAGAAGGCTTTGCAGCTCCATGCCTTTTTCTCATATCTCCCTATATGCATATCTGATACCTGGCTAGTTCTTGAGTTACATCCTTTTATAATAAACCAGTGATCTACTAAGTAAAATGTTTTTTTTGAGTTCTATGAGCCATTCTAGCAAATTAGTTGAACCCAGGGAGGGGTTGTGGGAACTTCTGATTTATAGTAATAAGCTTGGCTTGTGTTTGCCATCTGAAGGAGGGTCGTGGGGGCCAGTCTCGTAGGACTGAGCCCTTCACCCATGAAATCTGATGCTATTTCCAGGTGACTAGCATCAGAACCGGGTTAAGTTATGGATACCTTGCTGGTATCTGAGACTGTTTGTGGGTGTGGGGAAAGCTCCCCCTGACATGTTGGAATTGGGGCCAGGAACCCCAAAGAATATTTAATAAAAAATTAGGTGGCTCAACAAATATTTGTGGAAAAACTATTAAATAGAAGTAGAAGCTTGAGTATTGTGCCTCAAAACACCACTGTGGGTCTCATTCACATGCTGATATGTGAGGGTGGGCCCTCAAGTCCCAGTTTACACATATATCCACCCTGCAACATTCTGTAAGCCCTCTACTGCTCTTTCTGCCTCCTCTCTTGATGATGTCTGCCTTTTTTTTTTTTTTTTTTTTATGTCCGCCTTTCTAATTGTGGGATTTAGCATGCTGGCCTCAGCCCCTCACACCTCCATCATATCAGATTGCCCCCCTTACCTCCCTGCACTTGCCTTGTTCATCGTCACCTTGAAGTATCTCTCATGCCTCACCTATTCTTTTTCATCTCTTCACCTTTAAAGTTGAATGAACCTTTTTTGGCTACTTTTCCTCAACTTTTCCCCTTTTTCTAAACTTCTGAAACTTCTGTGTCTTGATAGATTGAAAGCTTTTTTAAGAGTAAGGACCACATCTTTTTTTATCTTCTGTTTACTGCACTGTGCTCGGATGATGTACTACCACAAACCAGGTTCAGCAGTCCTCATTTGCTTAAGCTGCTTTGTATTCCCCAAACAAACTCAACCTCAGACCTTCCAAATTACAGATGACTTCAGATTTTTTTTTTTTAAATGGAACAAAGAATGCCTTTTTTTTGTGTGCTTTTTGTTTTATATTTGTCTTTTTCAAACTCTTCTTGACTCTAATCGTGGCAAAAACCTTGAAATAGTTGGAAGTTTTCTCTCTGGTGCTCTGCAATTAGATCTTCCAAACATAACCAGTCAAAACCCATTATCCGAATAGGTTTTCTTAGTAAATTATTGGAGAATGTTTATTTAAAGTCTTCTGAAAAACTTTAAAATTGGTCTGATGAGACAGATGTATCTTACCAGGCTACAATGCTCGAGTTTATGATTATCATACTGGTGAAATAATTTACTTTCACAATATATATTAAGCTCCCTGGGGCCTTAATGTCAGGCATATTGTTAGGCACACATAGTAGGTTCTTAATAAATATTAAATGGAAAATTAATATATTCTAATACATAATTTTTTGAGTGTGCTATTCCATTTTGGCAATTGCCAAATGTAATTCACTAGAAAATTCTGTAAAGTGCTCATTTATGACCAAATTTAAAACCTCTTTGAGGTTACTAGAGGTGCCTTTGTCTTCACACAGCTAGGAAGAAAATAAGCTGTTTTATATAGAGATTATATTTAGTTGTTTTCTTAGATTCACAATAGTCCATTATTATAATTGTATTTTAGCACAGACTAATAAAAAGACATCAGCATTATTATCTTTTCTCTTCCCATTTTCAATTTTTCCTTCTTCTTAACAGAATTCTTTCACAAAACTATTCATAAGCATTTAAATTAAATTAGTATTCTTTAGGTTACATGTAATATAAATTAATATTCTCTCTGGAAAAGTGGTTGATGATTATTTTCATAGTTGTGTTATGGACTTTGGTATTAGTATTATTCAAGAATACATAATTTAAATTCTGACAAGATTTTAAAACATTTTCTTCTAAGTAATGCCTACCAATTAGTCCTTTCCTTTTCTTGTTAGTCTAGGGCTGTGACTGAATACCAGATAGGAAGAGGATCATAAATTTCTGTTATATCTAGATCTAGATCAACAGGAGGACCTCTGGGTAAGTAGAAGCATGGTTATGGATGGATTCTGGAGCCTGCTTGCTAACGTAGGCTTGTGGCTGTGGACTTTATGGGGTTAGCTTTTAATCTGCTGTCAACTAGCATGATATCACAAATGCCATAAGAAAATAAACACACAGTCTTATGCAGATGACTACATTGACCTCACCCTTTCTCTGAATGACTTGACAGAAGATCTGATTTTCTATGATGCAAGAGAAAAATAGCAGTTGCAGTGTTTTGCTGCATAAAGTATGTTCTGGTTTAAATTAGTGGCATATAAAGTTATTATCTTGTTTGAACAAAAATCTTATTAAATTGAGCATATTTTTACTCCACAAAATGAAATTAAATTTTTAGATTGTTGTTTTTCTTTTCAGTTGGAAATTTATCGAGTGAATAGAAAACAAGTCATACAACTTTCCAAAGAATATATTACATCTTTTTGCATTTTGGTTTTCTTTGGCTTTGTGTGGTTTTTAGAAAATCTTGTAAGTCGATTGTATTAAAGTAGAAATTGAAAGAAATAACCAGACATATAGCAATAAATTTGCAGATAAAGACTTCTTTAAATGAATGTTCACTGCAGTATTACTTATATAAAAAATTGGGAACTACCAAAGTCTCCAACAATAAGTATATTGTTAGAAAAACTGTGACCCTTTCCATTGACGGACTATTAGGTAGAATTTAAAAATATTTTTGAAGAAGTTTTAAAAGCACAGGACATTTTTTCTAATGTAAGAGAAAACACATAACAGTTGGGGCGCCTGGGTGGCTCAGTCGGTTAAGCGTCTGCCTTTGGCTCAGGTCATGATCCCAGGGTCCTGGGATCGAGCCCCGCGTCGGGCTCCCTGCTCGGCGGGAAGCCTGCTTCTCCCTCTCCCACTCCCCCTGCTTGTGTTCCCTCTCTCGCTGTGTCTCTCTCTGTCAAATAAATAAATAAAATCTTAAAAAAAAAAAAAAAGAAAACACATAACAGCAACAACAATAACAACAAACCCAGAAAACCAGCTGCATATACAATAGAATTTTAGTTTGTATAGACAAACAAATGAATGGGATAAGGCAAAGCACTGAGCACTTTGAGGGTCTTATATTTAATCTTCACAGGAGCCCAGTGAGATTATTTGGGGAAACTTAGAAAATTCCACAGTCAAGGACTGATTCCCTGGATGACTAGTTTCAGGAGATCATTTTAGAAGTTGTAAGTCATAGGTCAGCAATTTGGAGACATGTAAATTGTGTACTGGAAGAAATTAAGTATGTACATGTAGTGAATGTAACTGATTTTAAGAATTTTTTTTTTCGGAGGAGATGCGATAACTGCTGTTGTTGGGCCTGGTTCTTAAAGTATAAACTGGCCAAGTATGTGTGGACGTCAAAATCCCTACCAGTGATTGGTCCCCTCTGTAGCTTTTAGGTTGTCTGTTCCTTAACACCTTCAGGCTCCCATAAGAAAAAACATTTTTGCCTCAGTAATATGGAGTAGTCTTTTTGTTCGAGCTTGAGTTCCAGTCACGGTGATTTTTCCCTGAGGAACTGGAGAGGAGCCATTTTCCCCAATGCAGAACTAAAAGACTCAGCATGATTGGAGCCCACAGTTTCTAGAATTTGCCTTTGCCATTCTTCTGCTTTTGTTGCTCTTCTCCAGTCAGCTACCCTGACATTTCAAGGGTTAAAGATTGTATCACTTGTTGAGCTAACAGCCTTCACTTATGATTTCAGGGATTGGGTAAATGGCAGCAATAAAATGTTTGTGCTAGGATATCCATTTTCTCCTAAGACTCATTATATTATGTTATGGTGCCAGTGCATGCATATGCAGGCCAACTGGTTTTAACACAGAGGAGAATCAGGCTTTGATTCTTCACTTGAGAATTATACCTAAACATTGGTTAGTAACTTCATTTTGCATATGAGTAAAATTAAGACAGAAAAGTCCGCAGTTTGCCTAAAGTCACACATCGACTCATGACAGTCAGGATTTCAACCCAGCTCTGTCTAGCTTCAGAGATCTTGGTTATTTTAGTACCAGGATCATAGATAGTTTTCTTTTTTAAAAAATATTTTCTCTATTTTCTAAATCTTATATGATGGTACTGCTTCCATAAATAAGTAATAAATGTTTTTTTATTTTTTTTATAAGTAATAAATGCTATGAAAGTAGAGATAAAACATTTTTATGTAGTCTGAAGAAGGGAGAAAGAAGATATTTTTCCTATTAATGAGAAACACGTCCCTGTTTCTCTTTTCCATCCGGGACTGTTTACTGTGATTGCACCTGCCATATTGTGCTGAAATGACCTGAAGACAGATGGAAACAATGTGCTCTACAAGGCTGATAATATCTGCCTTGACTTACAGTTTCATTAAAGCTTGTGTGATCAGACTGTGCAAAAATTAGCGTATATTATTAACTAAACTCATCAAATGCTAATGACTTATAAAACATAGAACAATAAAAACAAAGCAGAAGCGGGGCACCTGGGTGGCTCAGTCATTAAGCGTCTGCCTTCGGCTCAGGTCATGATCCTGGGGTCCTGGGATCGAGCCCCGCATTGGGCTCCCTGCTCAGTGGGAAGCCTGCTTCTCCCTCTCCCACTCCCCCTGCTTGTGTTCCCTCTCTCGCTGTGTCTCTGTCAAATAAATAAATAAAATCTTTAAAAAAAAAAAACAAAGCAGAAGATATTCTTTAATATTCACTACTTGATTTCTTCAGGTTCCAACAGGATTCCATTTAGCTGTAGAAACTTGAATACAAATCTGCAGGTATATATTCCTTTGTCCTCTTTGGGCTAGGTGTGCTTGCCCCTTGGGAAAGAAACAAAAGTTTCAGAATACATTTTTATTCATGAAAGTGCTCTCTTTAGATTTCTGAAGAGAAGAACTTCTGGGCGGATGAGTAAAATATGTTACTTCTGTTCTGAGACGTCTGCCATCAAGACTAGTAGCCGCCATGCACTTTAATGACCCTTCCACGGTCACAGCTGACACTGACACTGACAAAAAGGATTTGGGACAAAGAGCTGTGTTCACCTGTACATAATTTTCCAGCTTTACCACCAGCTCTGCATTGTATGCTCCTGTATTTGGCTTAAGCAGATATTTGTAGCTATGAAAATAGAATGCTCCTTTGCTACTTAAGGATTCTATCCTGGGCAGGGGAGGGGAGAACCAGGATCGAACTGTTTTGGCAGGCAAGCTCTTTGATGAGGAAAACTATGTGGCCCAAGAGCTTAAAGTCACCAAAGCAGGAACAACTGAGATTCTGTATCTATTGAAACATCTTCAATTGAGCCATGTTTGTAGATGAAATAGTTTAAGGGCATTTACGAAGCATGTTCTTTAAAAAAAATTCATTTGCTTCTGACAGTTATGTAAAACTTCAAGTACTTTGTAAAAGCCCTCAATGTTGAATGATTGAAGGTTGTTAATGGAAAACTAGGCAGTGAAAAACAGCTGGGAGTTGGAGAAATGGAATGGTATTCAGAAACACAACTAATTGAGGCTGACTCTGGGGCAGGGCTTAAAGCACTGAAAATTTGAATGAACTTCTTAAGAGTAGCCTGTTTTTGTTTGGTTCCTGCAGTATAGGATGGTCAGTTTTAAAGAGTGTCTAAGATCGTGGTTCCAAGAAGCTCAGGGGTACACCGCTGCTGGGAATCCTGGCATAAATGTCAGTAACAAACTTCCAAAGTGATAAGAAGTCTTCTGAAACTGTTAGTTTTTAGTGAAACACTCAGCTTGGAGGATCTTTCGCCCACGCCCATTAGTTTTAGAGCAATAATTAGAAGGTAATTAGCCTAGTAGCTCTCTCTGATTTTATATTAGGAGTGATAAATATCAGTATTTATCTCCATGGTTTCAGTTCTTCTGTGTGTATTTGCTTTGTACCAAATTGAGGCAACTTGGGCTATTTGGGATGACTGATGTGGACCGCTAGGGGGAGGCACCCCCCCACCCTGACTCGGCCCAAGAATATTGGTGACTCTGGCCTCAGCATCCCACAAGTGGGATGAAATAGCAAAAGAGAAATCCTCTAGTGATTCTTTCAGGGATTAGTTCATGCGGACAAATAGAATATTTCACAGAGATCTTAACCGATCAAGGAGAGGAACTTCTTTCTGTGTGAATGCAACCTGAAAATTCTACTATAGCAAGAGTGTGATAAAAATCCTTCCACTGATACGGCTTACAGTGGATAAGGGATGTAATACAGCAAAAAAGGAAAAAAACAAAACAAAACAAAACAGAGGCTCACAGAGGAGATTATGCAGAGCTGAGAGAAATTTTCTCAGGTAATAAACACTTGCAGTCAGGATTTTGCAGTGTTTGGGAAGAAAGCGAAGTCACAGAGATGCAGTCGGAGGAGACCATGTTGAAATGATGAATTTTGCCATCTGTAATAAAGAGACTAAAAATTTCTTTTGAATTGTATTGGCATTGATAGAAAAAAGGGACCATTCCACTAGATATTTGTGGTGGAAGGTATCATCAGTATTAAATGCAGACAGGGTCTGCAGATAAAGAGAATTTGATGACTACCAGGGACCAGAAGCCAAAGCAGAGTAGTGTTGTGTCATTTCCTCTGGCTTCCCGGATTCCCCAGGAGGAACAGCTGGATGCTCAACCCAGGACCTGGCTGCTTGTTCTATAGCTGAGGGAGTGCAAAGTTGAGTGTGCTTGAGGAAGAGAGAATCTTAAGCTTTAGTATCAGTCACAAAGCATTTGTTATTCAAAAGCTCCTGTGAAATTAATTTAACAAAGAGCCCATTGGACTGATTTGGCTCTAATGCCTACTGGCCTAGGTCAGCAAGCCAAAATCTAAATCTGCAAATGACTCAAAGTTACAAAAAATGCTAAGGAGAACCAATCACAAACTGCTAACTAGGCTTTAAGCTACAGCCAATCAAAGGATTTCCTTTCTTTGCTTCTGCACTTTCTCTGTCTCTGTATAATTCTGTCCCTGAACCACTTCCCGTTTGGCACTGCCCTG